TCCGCGGCGCCATCCCTCCCACCACAGGATGGAGTTTAACTGTTCCCTTCAATCTCCTCTGCTGTCAATTTTAATTAGACTCCACCTGGACTGCTCCTTCTGTACGCGTGCTGCTGAGAATTGTAACTTTTATAGTTTATAACTCCCCTTTTTTTTAATGCAGCGGTGGGTTTTGTACTAATGATATGTTGTGTGACTGCGCGTTTCCGTGTGTGTGTGTGTGTGTGTGTGTGTGTGTGTGTGTGTGTGTGTGTGTGTGTGTGTGTGTGTGTGTGTGTGTGTTTTACAGGTGGCCGAGATGCACGGAGAGTTGATCGAGTTTAATGAGCGCCTATATCGCACCCTCATGGCCAAGGACCACCTCATCGGGCAGATGAGACAGGAACTTATTGAGCTGAGAGGACCGGTGAGTTCATCACAACACACAGATGTCCTCGCAGCCGCTCATTTTCTTTCCCTAAGACCCATCCTCCCGTTTCCATTCTCGACTCGGCCGCTCTGTCATTCGGAATTAATATTTTCCTACGAGCCAGGAGGTCGGATTGCTTTCTACTTTGCATGTCCGGTCTTGTTGGTGGAGCGTAACGACGGAGGAACCATACAGTGGAAAGGCCTTAGCATCGCGCAGCACGGTGTTGACCATTCGTTGTGTATGTCGTCGCTGTCTGGCAGAACCCCTTATGTCTAAATATAGTCAAATTATTATTTTTTTCCCCTCCACATATTGACGCTAAAGTTCTGGCAATACTTTGACTATTATTTTTATTCAGTATTAACCAATATCAGGGCGGCCTGGTGGTCCAGTGGTTAGCGCGTCGACCTCACCTCAATCTCAGCTCCGACCTTCCAGTGTGGAGTTTGCATGTTCTCCCCAGGAGGCCTGCGTGGGTTTTCTCCGGGTGCTCCGGTCAGCTGATTGGTTTATTCTTCACATCGCTCATGGCTCAAGACATTTCAGAATGGGTTTGTGACCATGAACCTGGGACAGGCGTTTGCTTTTGTGACGTATTGAAATTACTTTTTTTTCACAGTGGGGTGCTCGGCATGGCCACAGGCTTTGAATTTGAAGCGCACGGCTGCCGCTGGCTCCGTGCTTGGACTAGTTTAAGCAACGACTACTTCATGAACTTGTGATTTTTTTTTTTTTTTATTGAGCATATGAGATTAGCGCTTCATCTATTTTTTTGGTTGGTGTTGTGTTGATGTGAATGGGCACGTGCTGGCAATATAAAGTACAATACAGCTTTGAACGATGCGATGGCTTGGAATTCAAGCAAGCTGGTGTTGTTTTTTTGAGTTTCCGAAAAGTGGTCCAAGGATTCCGCCTGACAACACCGATGTGCTGCTGCTAATACCCAATGATTCCCAGAGGGCCTTGGCAGTCCCTGGTGCGTTCGGCTTAATTCAGTGAAGCTCTTTCCTGGTACTCAGCGATTGTCCCCGTGTCAAAAACTTCAAATTGAAAGCATTTTAGTTTGTCACACGTGTTCAGACAAAGTTGCTGTCAATATTTTTTTTCCTCAACGTAACACATTATTTTTTTTCTTCCCCAGGATAGTGCACGTAAACACCACATGACACTAACATCTGTTTACACGTAGAGCCCCCCCCCCCCCCCCCCCCACACACACACCATCTGTTATGTGAGATGATGCAATACCGCTAAAGTGAGTCAAAGGTAAACGAAGGTGAGCCCTCGTATCTTTTAACGCCACCTTTTCCTCGCCGGTCTCTTCAGTGGGCGTGTACAGTTTGGTGTATGTGTGTAAGCCTTTTGACACTCATGTTCTTACAGCGCCATGCTGAGCAGCTTCAAAGTACTCAGGCCATGGTCAGGACCTTTACACATTTCCCGTCACCTTCCAATCTACTGCGCGTGTGGTGTGTGTGTGTGTGTGTGTGTGTGTGTGTGTGTGTGTGTGTGTGTGTGTGTGTGTGTGTGTGTGTGTGTGTGTGTGCTGGGGTCTCCGCTTTAGGTGATTGGGAGGGCGAGATGACACACTTTTTACACAGACAATCACCCAAACCGCCAACATCTGGATTCGGTCATGTGGTGCCTCAAGGGATCGCTGGAAAGACTGATGTAAATCAGCAGAGGGTTGATAGATTCCCGCACAATCTGTCCAACGGACACAATCGCATAGAGGGTTGGCATATTGGGATAAGAACTGCTTCCCGACACGACGACATCCATAAATGTTCCAACATTTCATGTTTATGTGTTCGCGTGTGAGCTCTTGAAGTGTAAACTTGTGCCGGAAATGCATAATGAGTCACCTATTTTTTTTTTTTTTTACGGTAATGCATAATGAGCCACCTATTTTTTTTTTGTATTTTTTTTTTCTTGGATATTTAGGTCCCAGGGGATTTGAGTCAGACGTCAGACGATCCCAGCCTCTCCGATTTTGAAACGTAAGAATTGCCCACTGATTTCTTGGGTTAAGGAAGGATTGACAAACTTGGTATCATCCAACCGGATTAACATTGCTGTCATTAATGCTGTGTACCCATTTTTCAGGGAATGTATTTTCCAACACTGATTTCTAGGGTTAAGGAAGGATTGACAAACTTTTGGTATCATCCAACCGGATTAACATTGCTGTCATTAATGCTGTGTACCCATTTTTCAGGGAATGTATTTTCCACACTCATCCAAATTAAGTGATCTGTATGGAGACACTCGCACGCACTCACTGGTGCCATACGACACGAATAGGGCCCGCCTCTTAAAGACACACACACTTCAAAACATACAGAATCCATTTTAGGCTTGCAATAAATTTTTTATTCGTGTGAGTGTTCAAATATGTTTCCAAACTTTTAAAGACATTTGAATGGGCTCACTCACTGCATACGGAAATGTTCACAAAATGAACACGTACGATATGAAATCTTGATTTCTTTCGGCGAATATTTGACGGCTATTTTTTGTGACGTGAATACAAGCGGATCCATTGCAATGCGGCGAAGACGAAATACATGAAAAATCGAAATCCAGTCATTGTTTATCCTGTGGTCACTATCTGACAAAATGTACAATCCCCTGGCCTCATCGTGAGGCTTGCCCGATCCATTTCGACCAACCACAAAGATGACCCGATGTTTTTTTATTTATTCATTCATTTATTTCTTGTCATCTCTCTCAATATATCCGAACGACCCCCATCTAAGCACGCTTTGATACACGATCACATGCCGCGCTCCGCTTCCTTCATCACTCTGAGCTTCAACGTGCCAGAGCTCACCAAGTGTAGCGCAACGACACAGCGTTGATGGTGATGATTATGACTATGATGATGGACGTAAAAAGGCCATCGCGGTGAAGCCTTGCCTGTTTGTTTTTGTCCCCAAAGGGCCCATCGCGCTCTCATCAACGTGTGGATCCCTTCTGTGTTCCTACAGGGCAGAGCTGCAAACGCCTACCACGTCTATCAGGTAAATCGTTTGCGAGCGCACGTGATTAAATTACGTGAGACATCCAAAGGCGGCAGAAAAATATTTGGTAATATTGTGAATGGATAAGTTTAGAAATCCAACTGCGGTATGTTTACCTGTACATGGTACATATGACGTCATGTCCTGACATTGCCGTTAATTTAAAACCATCATAAATGTGTCATGCTGAGAGTCCCTTCGCTGTCTTGGTTTCGTTGGTCCATTGGTCTCGAAAATGCCAATTTTTGGGCTGACTGGAACAGTTTCAAGAATGAAATCCAGTAAAGAGCCATATGAAATGAAAAAGTAGTCTGCCTTTATAAGAATTATAAGATTCAGTTTTGCGCTTTGATCAATTATTAGTTTCACAATATCATGTTTGTGACGTTAGGCCGGTGGTTCTTCCATGCATACGGGGAAAAAACAAAACACGTTTCGTATGACATAGTGCAATATGACATAAACTTAATAGTAATCATTTCTTTGTTCATTTTTTTTTCCCCCAAATTGAACATAATTTTCTTTCCAATGGACGAATTTTGAATGCAGGGACAGCGGTTACGACTGTGGACAGCTTATGTTGTCAGGTTATAGGGTGCATGAAGGTGACTTCCTGTTGTGACTTCCTGTTGTCCAGGGTCATCTCTTAAACCACCCATGCATGTTACAGGCATTTGCTTTGACGTCACCAGAAATAACCATCCATGCAATCATTGTTTTCTCCAGTTGGATAAAAACATATGTGGATAAAATTATATTAGACGGGGCTTTGGCATGAGCAGAGAAATAATGACTAGGTGAGATTTTAGAGAATAACAGAGGATCGGCAACCAGTCCTGGGTGTACCCCGGCTCTTATCTGGACTCAGTTTAGATTGGCTCTTGCTCACCTGCGAGGACAAGCGGGCGAGAAATATCTCATGCTGACAGAATCAATTGCTTTGCATTGTTTTGTTCAATCCGTTTTGCTGTCATGTGCCACAACTTGCAAACGTTGATATTTTCCCTTCTTGAAATGCATTGTCTCAAACACAATGGAGCGAAAGGAAATGGCAAATAATTGCCTCTTTTTCGATCAGGCTAACCATGACTGAGGAAATGTTGATCATGACAGCTGCGTTTTTGGTCGGCTTGCCTTTCCTGTCACCTTTTTCAAGACAAGAAAAAAAAAATTCCTTTGCAGCCCTCCGTTCCAAAAATTCTCTTCACCCTTTCACCTCCAATCACTTGTACGATAATGCCTTTTTACGACTCGGCACTTAGACCCGGTGACTTACGGATAACTTTCGAACAAATTCAAGGAAGTTCAACTTGGAGAATTGTCTCTAAGCTGCTGCTTCTTCTTGGCTTTGTCCAGTTATCCTTCAACTTTTACCGTGTCTTTCACATTCACAAGGTATTAAACTTGAACGCACACACACACACACACACACACACACACACACGCTCAGCTGCGCATACTCACACACACGGAATTGCCAGGAGGTACAAATGTAATGCTAGCCAGGCGAAACCATTGAGGACAGGAAAAGACAGGTGACACATCCTGAGCGCTAACTGAACATCAGGGACGGCTTGCTACCGAGCTCAGCCCGGCTCAGTTTATACATAATTGATGTAAATTCACATCTTGAGCGGAGAGCTGTCTGACACATTTTTTCGCACCCTAAATTGTATCCGTCTTCACATCAAGTACAAACGCGCAACTCCCAGCATATGACATATGAGCAGTCCCACACAAATTCGGACAATTTGCAGGCAGATAGTGGTAAACACGGCTATTCGTTTATTTTTGTCAAAACCTTACGTACCGTATTTTCCGCACGATCAGGCACATCTCAAAGCATTTTCTCAAAAGCCGACTGTGTGTCTTATAATCCGATGCGCCTCACATATGGATCAATATTCTCATTTCTTGGACATAGTATTTTAAATGTTCTGTAAAGCGCTTTTTTTACTGCTGCAGCGGTTGTGAAAGCGATGTATAAAAAAAGCTGAATTGTGTTGTATTCCCTTTAGCGTAGCTCCATCGACTGGATGCATGATGCAACCGCAGCCACTATTATAGCTTTTATTCAATGCGCCATATAATGCGGTGCGCCCTATGTGTGAAAATAGTTCTAAAATTGGCCATTCACTGAAGGTTTGCCTTATAATCCGAATCGCCTTATCGTGCGGAAAATACGGTATATGTATGCTGAAATAGATTCAGAAGTGACCCTCTTTTTTTGCACTTTATTCTTGGTACAATTTGCAATGGACAGCAACTCACATTTTGTGCTCCGGTGCAGTGCAGGAAAAGCGACTTGTTTCCTGCCGTTTGGCAGGTCATTTATTCAGTGGGAATTTGAGGTGGGTGCCATTGTCATGCTTTAAAAGCTGACGTATCCAGAATTCAAGAATTCATCCCGATTTTAAAAGTTGCACCAACCCGAAAAGAAAGTACTCATTGAGGTGTGAGTGTTTGACACGGTTTACGCTTGTCGGCCCTGACACATCCCACACCATCGGACAGGGCTACAGCAAAGTTGCCCCTCAGCTGAAAATTTTGTGGCGCAAGTAAAAAATTCAGGGACGCACACTGTAAATCGACTTGTGTCAATATTCGCATGAAACACATACTGGTTGAAAAAATCCTGACCATTGTGTGTGTTGCGCTGATTTCCTCTTATTGGCCTCTTCCCGGGCTGGTCTCAGGGCGGCTGCTGTCCAGCTCTTGAGCCCAATAGAAAGTTCAGCCCATCTGGTGCATTGGAAACTTTCCTTCCCAGAGCTATATTCGTCTAATGGCTCCCCCTGGAAAGGGCTTTTGTTCTTCGACAGCCTAATGGATGGCCAAGGTTACTGGAGTCATTGTTGTTAAGGTGAGGTAGTTGTCGTGATTGAACGCCCCGGTCGACTGTTTAAAGGACTGGCGAGTATCATAAGGGCGCTTTTTAAACTCCCCC